AAGTTCTACGTTGCAACTGACTGAGAAATATTTTGTTTTCTACTGAATGTATTCAATATTTTTGTTAAACATACAAATAATTGAATAAAGCCATGATGCTTACTATTATCATTATTATTATTACGATTATTTTAACTGTTATTACAGATTAAAGATATAGGTCATAGTTATTAGAATATTAGAATAATTTCATAATTCTGATCGCTATTTATCATACTCATTTATCAAAAATGGATTGGTTTCGCTTTAGAAATATAAATAATTTTACACAAATTAGTAAAAACGTTAATCATTATATGAAGAGTATTCTAGTTCGTGTCGTTTATAGTTTAAAACATGAAAAAAAGATGCTGGTGATTGTCAGCGAAAATGATATCAAATGATGATATAGTAGTACAATTTGTCTATAAATTAGGATCAGTAAACTCTTGGTACACGTAAGAAATATAATGAATTTTTTTTTAATTGAATTACAAATCGATCATGATTAGATTTGGAAACAACAGAAAGACGGTCCTTTTGTCATGGTATAGAAATGTTACGCCTGCATGTGTAAACACGTCAACTTGAGATATACTTGAACTATGACGAGTGTTTACCTTAGTCGGAAAAAACGAGAGCGAGGATTGAGGATCCGGTGACACGACATGCTACTCAAATCCGATTATCCCAACTCTAATATTGAGTGAAAATAAGAAGACAAGACTTGATATGAAGTAGAACGTGTATTCTACAAGCATCCAGAAAGTACGAGGTCCGAATCCAGAAGAGAATCAGGATCCCGGACTAGGGATTCAGGACCGAGCCCTGGTCCTGGTCGTGGTCATAAAATGTTACAGATAATGCGTATTTATACATTTTGGTCAAATGAGAAATAGCATCTAAGTCTGTGACATTAACAGTTAAGACGACCAATAGGAAGCAACATTTGAAGTGACAATGATAGTCAGGACAGCCAATAAGAAACAACAGTGGAGCACGTGACAATGATATCTAGGACAACCATAAAATTGACCAGTAGGGATTATCCAATAGGAATAGACCAATAATTCTCTTAGGATATTGGATGAATATCCTAACAAGAACTAACTGATCAGCAGTGTGCATGCACCAGCAGTTCTGCACTTTACAGGATTCGAAATCAGGATCTTCGCGGTCTTGCGCGCGAATGCCTAACCTCTGGAGCACTGAGCTGGTATCTATCTATCTAACGCTGTTAATGTCTAACTTTGATCAATTCACTTGTCTTGCACAACCTCATACACTGTCTTCGGGAGTTACTGTCTACACAGGAACAGGGTTGAACTCTACTGGTTACGACTTCTCACGGATCTAGTGACTAGTGAGCACAGATAATTGCATTATGAAGTTATGGAGACAGTTCAGTTGTTTGATGAAATCATGAATCGATCCATGTTAAAACACTATTGAGAAACCTGAAAGCATTGGATGGTCATTTTGTCCTAGTACGAAACTCACCAGTGACAGTGTGCATACACGACTGTCGCTCATGGGAATCGAATCCAGGACAGCCAACGTTTAACCTCTAAACTACTGAGTCGCCATTCAGTGGTGTTAATGTCTAACTTTAATCAATCCAAAGTCTGATGCAACTTAATCCATTGTCTTCGACTGGTAACTGCCTGCTGATGAGTGTCCTACTAAGATGAAACGACCATCAACAGCCCCAAGGTTTCTAATAGTAGTCTGAAAAAATGATCGATTTATCATTTCAATGAAACTCAATGATCTTCATAACTCTTTAATAAAAAATATTATTTGATCTGAGTAATCAACACAGCGCTAACATATTTTCATCAATCGAAACTTTCAGGAGTATTGACTTCTTTGAACTTAGAAATGATTACGGGTAATACTTCTACTACCTCTGCTACTATGAGATTTTAACTGACAATTCGATATCTCTGTATGCTAATGTGATATGAGAACTTGAACTGATGTACGTGCGTAAGTACGTACGTACGAAATTCTACGTTGTAACCGTAAAAACTAGGATGTAGGACCAGACTGTAGAACAAGTCCAAATTACCATACTTTACATGATAATACAGTCACGGCGAGAAGATATCAATAAGATTGACAAGTATAGTATAATGATTAGTTTTGAACAACAAACCAGTGCAATCTAATAATTGGATGTTTACAGTGATGCTGAACTATGAGGGCTGAAGGAAATCAGAAAAAATAGCCCAACTATAACACTAGGAACAGGTTTATCACAAAAAGAAAAACGTATCAAACAGCTGATTACGAGTAGAGCATAAGTTCATACAAAGAAGTCAAAATCGTTATGAATTGACTTGAGCAAATAATTGAAAGACTTGATCAATTCTTTCCAGCCAATCAGAAGTAGCTAAATGAGGTCACCATCAGATATGTCCTAAAGGACGAATGCATATGATTGGCCAGGGAGAAATGGCTTAATTGTCTAAGGAGGATATACTTCTCAAATTGTATCACAGAACCCTAATCTTCCAAATCAAATAGTCAGTTACAACGTAGAACATCGTACTTAAGTACATCAGTGCAGGTTGACATATCAAATTAGCACAGAGATCTAATTGTCAGTTCCAAATCCTATAGTGGTAGAGCTAGTACAAGTATGAGCAGTAATGGAGAGGATTAAGGTGTGATGATACGATTCGAGAAGCATGATTAGGTGAGATAATTTTAGAAAGAGAGAGAGATAGAGCTGATGAGGAATTCAGAAGATTAGAATTTGAGCAAACACAAAGAATGGATGCACCTGTGCCATTGCAAACGATTTTAGCCCATGTCATTCAAGGTCTCTAACCATCGATGACTTTCATCTCATGGACCACAACCTGATTGTCCACGTCGATTAACGTTACTACATCCACTACAAAATATAGCTCGATGAGGCAGTCGGTGGTTGGACATTTGTAACACATGTCCTAACCACCTCAACTGATGGAGTTTCACTACTTCATCAATTGATCTGCCGTCCCTACCTAGGACTCGTTTCCTAACTATTATATTACTTGCTCGGTTGTCCCAGGATATACGAGCAATGCTTCAAAGACATTTGTAGTCGAATGCTAATAATCTACGAATATCCTCTTTTCTTACCGGCTATGTTTCTGATCCACATAGTAGGACGGAGCAAACTGCTATGGAGTAGACTCGTCCTTTAGTCAGCAAACGAATTTCTTGCCTACACTATAAGTGACGCAAGTTGGCAAAAGCCAATCGAGCCTTCTGTATCCGTGCTGCGATTTCGTCAGTCACCAGGCATTCAGCACACTAATGAGACTCCCCAGATAAGTGAAGCAGTGAACACACTCAACTGCATCACTCCCTATCTGATCCCTTACTGCCATTATGGGATTAGCATTGACAATCCCCCCATGGTAATGTGATAATGGCAACTTGAAATAATATACAAACGTACCAAGTTCTATGTTATAGCTGACTGACTGACACTATAAATGAACTGATTATGTGAAATTCACATCCACCCGCACACTCACACACACATACAAGCATATATATACATATACACATAAACACAAGTGTAAATAGCTTGATATACATAGCCGATTTGAATTTTTAAAAAAAAACAGTTTTTACATCATGAATAGAGCAAATACTAACATCAGAATGAATGAAATTTCACGCAAATATACACAATTCAGTAGTAAGAAGAATTAACCGAAATTTTTTCAACACAATCTGGCTGGACACAGTATTATTGACTAGAAGTAGCCTGTAGATATTAGATAAGCAGATTAAAAAAAATTTATAAGTTGCTTCACTGCAGAAAAACATGGAAAGAATAAGATTTTTCTTCAACATGTAACTTAAGCCGAATAAAAAAGAAACCTTCACTCGTAGTGGAATAAAGAATGTAACACTACATGAAATGTGACTGTCAGTGGAATCAATCCAGTGGATGAGTGTTTCGCTCGATTTCGAACATGTCCTCTAATTGAATATAAGAAATCAAATTGTCAGAGTTGAGGTTCTCTGCGTTTGTGGCTCAGTAGAGCTAAGTGAACAACGCGATGGAGTTTACGGAAAACGGTACAGTGTTCCAGACCAACTAACCACTTATGGGATGGAGGCAGGTCTATCTGTGGTGCGCGCTACTTATAAGTAGTATATGACGTGAGTGTCAACGTAATGTCTGGCAACAGAAGATGGGGGAAGATCAAGAAAGGAACAGTGGGAACACAATGGAATTTGTATGAAACACATGAATAGTGAAATGTCAGACAATCGATTGATGATTGATTGAAGATTTGCAAATTAACCGTTTACGATAGGGTTTTCCTATTTTACTGAGTAACTCTGTAATTTTCGTTAAATACAATTCCGTTGCCCTCACCTGTGTTCTCCTTCACTACATATCCAAACTAAAGACTGAATCCTAAACTAGGATCGAAATATGCATCCACTGAATTCCACACTATGAGCTATATTCTATCTATTCAACATAAACTTGTGTCAGAATTGTTTAATATTGAAGCAATTCACATAGGAAACTCCGCCAGTAGAACCTTCGAGGCTACTGCCGGTCCCAAGACCCAGATAAAGGAGGAGGGGTTAGACATGGGGTTGGCGACTCCATTCCATCGAAATCTAACTTGCCAAAAAAAAAACGCTAACCAGAAAAAATAATTCAAATCATTTTAACTCTGCCCCTGAGAGTTGGAAGAAGAATTATGACGTCCGCTTGATGAAAGCCGAGTTCCCTCGAAAGTCACGGGGCCGATGCCCCCTTCTGACAACCAGAGCAATCGATGGTTGGAAAAAACTGGTGGGCGGCCTATGCTCCATTGGGGTTGTTAACAGGCGTAAGTAAGTAAGTAAGTAAGTAAGTAAGTAAATTCACATAGGATGCCCAATATGTGTGTCCATTTAGGACAGCTGAATAAATAGAAAACTCAAACACCATTAAATAAATCTAACAATTATACAAAAGAATAACAACATATAATTCAATGCGAATATGATACCTTGATGAGATGGTGATGTCAACACGTTGTCTGATGGATGTAATGCTTTTAAAGGACCAGAATTATTGGCCGACTGTTGTTGACTAGGATGATGATGCATTAAATATTGTAAATCTGTAGTGGTTGAAGATGAAGAAGCAACGCCAGTGCCAGAAGAAGTGGTGGCGGCTGCTGCAGCTAAACGAGCTTTATGCATTTTAAGTCGACGTGTTGTTGGCATAGTGGAATATTGTTTGTCAACATCTAAATAAGTAAGTAAGTAAAGATTAATGAACAAGAAAAGAAGACGTAAGTGAATATATATGCATAAAAATCACTTTTTTTTAAAAATTTTTGAGGTACTAATATGGCCAGAAATAAAAGGGGATATTCTTAATTTACCGAATATTCGATGATAAGTGTCTATGATACAATGCCAGTATATTCTGCAACGATCAAGTAAGCAACGCTGATGTTACGAGAAGAGTGCTGAGTAAGGATAGCAAATCACTTGCTGAGTATGCTTCACCATCGGACACGTCAACAAACGATGCTATCTGATGTAGGAGTAGGTTAGTCAAGGCGTTCGACCAAACCAAAACATGGCACCAGCAGTAGTCCATGAACTCATTGATATGTTGACTGAGTCATGTATGTTAGTGGGTGCAGACTAACTGGATATACTTGTCAAATCATATCTTTAATCTCTGATCTTTTCGATTAATGTTCATACTGCTACAACCCTTACTACTACAAGGTTTTCATCTCTCTCTCTGATAATATTTGTGGTATGACAGCTTGAACTTTTGTACGCGTACATTCGTACGTACATAGTTCTACATTGTTATTGACTAACTGAATGAATGACTGATTGGTTAAATATGACTAACAGTGGAATTCAGGATAGGCGTTTTGTCCGTAATGGTCATCTGATCAGCTAGTTAGCTGATAAACCAGTCTGGCGTACAAATATACAGTCAGTTTACTTACCAAAAACTTGATCAACACACTGACTACACAGAGAGAGATGAAAATAACAAAAGTCATTAAAATAATTATGTAATGATATCAACGACACACACACACGCGCGCGAAACAACACACACACTACACATTTTTCCATACGGTTCAAATAAGCAAACTGCAAAAAATATGCAACAAAAGTTGGCGGGATTTAAATTCTGCACAATATGAGCCACGCTATTGAATTAAAAAGGGTGAACGAGCAAAACCATGAGCACGCTGATTAAGGCACGCATTATTTAAGAGCATATTCATGAATAATGATGATCATGAGGTAATTTGGGAAAAAAATATGTGAAAATATGCTCCATTCATTCTTTGTTGTCTCTTCATAAAACCAACCAATCAGAATTGTATTTTTTTCTAAACTGGTTAATGATCTGTCTACTTTCAGCCTAGTCATTGTGTGTCTATTTCGAGGTGCTAATGTAAAGTGATGGGTGTGTGTGTGTGTCTTGGATTTAATTTGTTCTAGTTAGTGTTACTGCAACAAATCACTCAATAAACAGCATTTTACGGTGTTACAAAGCGGGTCGTCGTCCATCATTTGTAACTCTCAAGACCAATATAGGACGACTATAAAACACATTAAGAATTGTGAATTGAAAGCAGACATTGTGAGAATGAACAAACGACTGGGAAGAATTGGAAAGCAATGTCCCAAGACAGAGTAGATGGTTGGCGGCCTATAATACTCTATTAGGTATAACTTGTGTAAGTAAATAAGTACGCTAGTTAGTTAGTCGTTGTCACATGACAGGCACAATCTATGAATTTGGCATAAATAATATAAGCTAAGTCAGTCAGTCTCAATCAATCAATCTATCGATTCACTGCATCGTTTGCCAATGTGGTACCATAAATCTTACTTACAAAAATCAAAATTATGCATTCATTCTATGATTGCAAATATTCATATAGTCAGTCCATTGACCTATTTTACGCATACATAATTAATACAGCATTTCTCTCTCTCTCACTATCTATCTCTATCTCTGTGTGTGTGAGTGTGTCTGTCTTTCTGCATTCTTACGTAACTATATGAGTAGCAATCAAATTATTTTTTTTTGATTGAACAGCTTGTGATTGATATTTTTTATTGATTAATAAATAACCACTAAAGTCATGAATGAATTATTGTTAGGCCTGAAAGCACTGAACGGCCGTTTTGTGTCCTGGCATGAGATTGACTCCTCAGCAATGCGTATCCATAACTCCTGATTCGAAGCCAGGACCTTTCGCCTTGTGCGCGAACGCCTAACTTCTAGATCAAATCAAGTTGTCATACCACATTAGCACAGAGATGCAAATTCCAAATCAAATCACATAGTGACAAAGATAGTAGAGGTGTTAATGGTAATGAAGGAGATTAGGGTTTGAAGATATTATTATTCAAGAAGTATAATTCAGTGAGATAAGGTTAGAAAGATTAGGATTTGAGAGAGCACAACGAATGGATGCACCTGCGCCATTGCAAACGATTCTGAGCCATGTCGTTGTTCAAAGTCTCTAACCATTGGTGACTATCGTCTCGCGGACCCCAAACAGACAGCCTACATCTACCAACATGACTCAGTCCACATGTCAGTGACTTCATAGATTTCTGTCATGTTTTGGTTTGGCCAACCCTAGCATTCTTCCAACCTACTCCTACACCACAAAACAGAGCTTGTCGAGGCAGTCTGTAGTTAGGCATTAAATCCCATTGTAGTGAAAGTAGTAGCAGTATTATCAGTGAAATAAATTTAAAAAAAAGGGAAATTGGAGAGATCACGAAGGATTCAAACGAATCTGTGCTATCATAAATGATTTTGAGCCATGTCATGCTCAAAGTCATGAATGGATTTACCGTTTTACCACTTATTATCTGGATGTTATCTCAGTACTCTCTAGAAATTAAGTGTTCATGTATGAAATCGAAAGTCCTGTATTTGATCCGCACCTGCGAGATCGTGAATATTCACTACCGTCGAGTCTAATATTGAGAAGAATCCGTTATTTAGTGTTTTCAACTTTTCAATAATGATCTAACCTTGATCAGTACATGATTTCAATGAAACTCAACAATCTCTGTCAGTCAGCAAGGAGGTAGGACTTCGTACGTAAGTACATCAGTTCAGATTGCCATACCACCACATAAGCACAGAGAAGCAACTGTCAGTTCATATCTAATAAGTGGTAGTGATAATAGAAGTATTAGCAGTAATCGAAAAGATGAGGGATCGAAGATATGATTCAAGAAGTATAATTCAGTGAGATAAATTTAGAAACAGAAAGATAGAGATGATAAGGAATTAAGAAGGTTAAAATTAGAGAGAACACAAAGAATGGATGCACTTGCGCCATTGCAAACGGTTCTGAGCCATGTCATTGTTCAAGGTCTCTAACCATTGGTGACTTTCGTCTCGCGGAACCCAACCAGGTAGTCTACATCTACCAAAATGACTCAGTTCACTTGTCCGTGACTTCAGGGATTTTATGCCATGTTTTGGTTTGGCCTCCCCACTAGCTAGTTCTCAACCTAATCCGCTACACCACAAAACAGAGCTCGTCGAGACAGTCGGCGGTTGGGCATTCGTAACACATGTCTCAACCACCTCAACTAATGAATTCTCACTACGTCAATTGATCTGCCAGCCTCAACTAGTAACCTTCTCCTAACACTATTAGCATTGCTTACTCGGTGGTCTGAAGATAAACGAGCAATGCTTCGAAGACAGTTATGATTGATTACTAACAGCATACGTATATCCTCATGTTTCACATTTATAAAGAAGGACAGTGCGAACCGCTATGCAGTTGAAATAAATATATTGACCACTTAATCAAGTGATTCAAATGTGATTTACAAAATATCCTGAGCTCGATTCCTGTTTTAATGAACAAAGACATCAAGACAAGATGGAATAGTAGTATATTTCGGTGAAGACAGTTGTTTTGTTTTTAAACGAAATATGTGTACAGCAAATCTTTGAACATTCCATCTGCAATACAAACACATTATTATTGATTGTGCTCTTTCATGAAATCTTCCGATCTTCATCAAAACGACTTGATTGCGCACTATGCATTCCAATACAACATTCTTCTCACAGGTAGAAAGAACATTTTAGGTGATAGATACTCCACTGGATACGCCCCACTTAGCAATAATCCACGTTGCGAGTAGTATCCTCTACAATATGCAAAATATGCAGAGGATGTAACGATCGATACTACTACCCCCCCATAATTCATGTCTCATATGGTCGAAAAATGAATGAAAGGTCGCGATATTGCGTGGAAAAATAAAAGTCATTATTCGACATGAGACACAAAGGGGGTAGGTAATAAGAATGCTTGAACTCATTTGCGCCAAGCTGGACTTCATCTCTTACATTCGTATATACCATGACCTACATGGCTATATATATAGAGCTGAAGGTTTGGTATGTGACTAGAGGTTCGCTGTGATGTAGATTGTGGATAGTTTGGCATTACTTATGGGGCAAGTATTGCTAACAGGATGATCGATTTCATTGATTACTTGTGGCCGTTATCTTGCAACATTCTCGTGGGCCAATGTCATTCATTGGTGTGCTTGCTGTATTGCATAGATATCACCATTGGCCAATAAAATAATGAGTTTGACAGTTGTTATGTGTAAGCGGGATGGGTCGAATTGACCACCTGTTCATGCTGTGCATATTGATTGATGATGCGATCATGGATGGGAAATTAATACTGCATATGTGCTAGTATATGAATAACTGGTGTGAATGATCCTTCAGAGTGTTAGTTACATGTGTGGAGGTTGCACTACCCGGTTGAGGTGTACTGTATACAAGTTGTAAAGTTAACACGTCGGCCTGCTCCTTGGTTTTTGATGAAAACTAATATAAAACTATTCTTGCTCATTGAAGATCAATTTCTATAAGTTACGCAATAAATAATAACAGATTTAACCGGTCAAATTTAACAATAAAAATGAAATAAAAGGCAAGAATAAAACAATGTAGACATTACCTTCTGGCATTTTGTAACGATTAGGAAGAATGTTAGTTTGAAAAAATGTATACTGTGACACATCGGCATGTCCATGACGTTTCTCTGAAACACTACGACGTCCAAATCCATCACGTAGGAAATTTTTATTCGATGTTACTGACATATCATGACCAACAGCAGTTGATTTCAAACTGGAACGATACCAATCTCCACGAGTCAGACCAATTTCCGATGAGATTGAATCCGACCTATGCAATAAACGTCGACGATTATCATTGAATGTAAATGATGATGAGAAGGAGGATGGTGATGGTGAGTGAGTAGTATTTTGTCGATCAGTAGTAGTAGTGGGATGATTTAATTTGTTATAATTAGAATGAGGATTTTCTATGAGTTCATGATTATCTCCTGGTTTTTTATGTCTAAAATTAAGAGGACAGATTTGATTATGAATGAGTTTGCTGAGAAATCATGAATTAATCAAAGGTTAGACTGTCATTAGAAGAAATCCGGAAGCACCAGGTAACCATATCGTCCTAGTATGCGACTCATCAATAGTGCACATCCACGACTCCTTAACCAGGAATCAAATCCAGGACCTACAGTCTCGTGCATGATTACTTAACCTCTAGACTACTGAGTTGGCATCCTTATGATGTTAATTAATGTCCAGCTTCAATCAATCTACGATATTGCGTAGACAACTGTTAATAAACACTTGTATCTTCTGGATGATGGCTTTCGTAGTTCTCCAAATTTCCACTACATACAGTACAACTGCCTTCACATTTGTATTGAAAATCCTGATTTTGGTGTTGATTGAAAGTTGTTTGGAGTTCGAGATGTTTTTCAACCGTAGAAATGCATCCCTTGCTTTGTCCATCCGCGCCCTCATATCTGCATTGGACCCACCTTGGTTGTCGATAATGCTACCCAGATAAGTAAAGGTGTTAACGTCCTCCAAGATATCTCTATCAGGTCTAATTTGGTCGGCGCATGTAGTGTCGTATCGCATAATCTTGCTTCCTCCTTTATGTATGTAGAGAGCTACTGCTTCAGAGGCTGCTGCTGCTACACTGGTCGTCTTCTCTTGCATTTGTTGTCGCATGTGCGATAAAATATTCATATTATCTGCTTAATCCAGATCGTCCAGCTGCATCCTGGTTGTCCAGTTGATACCGCGCTTTCCTCCAGATGTTGACGTCTTCATAATCCAGTCGATCACCAGGAGAAAGAGAAAGGGTGAGAGTAAGAAACCTTGTCTGACACCAGTCTACACCTTGAACCATTCTGTCATTTTATTGGATGTCTTGTATAAATTATGACATCATTGGATATTATTAAGCTTTAGACCGTTCATCAAACAGAGATATCGATCGTGGATACAAGCAGCTCGTCTAAACGATACATAATAAATGAACCACATAAATACACACACGCACACACACACACACACACACAAGAAAAAATCACTTTACCTTGGTGGCAATAATGAATAAGAAGCCGAAGATGCATTGCCAATAGTTCTTGGTGACTGATTATTATGCGGAGTTTTATATCGATGCACAGTAAGAGTGAATGAAGTTGGCTTATTATGTCCACGTTTAGTGATAGTTTGCTCCTCATCGTCATGACATTGTTTAATAATGTTTTTAAGTTTATTTACAATATTCTAGAGTAGAAAAAATAATAATAATAATCAACATTGAATGAATAATTGTGCATTTTAGTCAAGAACAACAACAACAAAATATTAGTAAGATAGAAATTGCCTAGCAATGCGTGTTTCGTCCTATTCACAACTCATCAACCTTAGCTAGCTAGATGTACTTGACTAATATTCCAGAGTGAATGTCCATTTAAAACACACGAACCTAGTACAATTTGCTTGACATACAATCATGTAATGTGTATGCGTATCTCAGAGTTGATGTTTAAAGTTGAAACTCAATAGCTAAGTGAATAATAACGATCGAGCATGAATTTAAATGGTACTCGGTTCGAGTGCTTGAGTGTTCATCAAAACTATAGGACATGTAACTCAGTCAGTCAGTAAGTTAGTTAGTTACAACGTAGAACTTGGTACGTAAGTACATACGTTAAGGTTGCCGTAACCTATCAGCAGAAAGACTCAATTGTCAGTTCGAATCCTATAATGGTAGAGATAGTAGAAATATGAGCCGTGATGGAGAAGATTAGGGTTCCAAGATATAATTCAAGAAGTATAATTCAGTGAGATAACTTTAGAAAGAGAAAGGTAAAAATGACGAGGAATTCAGGAGGTTAGAATTTGAGAGGACACAACAAGTGGATGCACCTGCGCCATTGCTAACGACAAGGTCTCTGACCATTGATGACTTTCGTCTCGTGGACTCCAACCAGGTAGCCTACATCTACCAACATGACTCTCAGTCCAGTTGTCAGTGACTTCATGGATTTGTGCCATGTTTTGGTTTGGCCACCCCTATCTATCTCTCAACCTACTCCCCTACACCATAAAACATCACTCATCGAGGTATTCAGTGGTTGACCATTCGTAATACATGTATGTCCTAACCAACACAACTGATGACATTTCACTCAACTACTCAAAATAACATTTTCATTTATTCTATAGTATGATATTTTCTTCATTCCAATATATATATCATCTGTTTTTGCCAAAAAATTCAATTTTTTTTCGTTTGCATCTCCTTTTATTCACAGAAATCACAAAAATCATTGAATGTAATAAATTTTTTTTTGATGTAACCAAAAATGAAATCAATAAAATCTTAACTTCAATTTTTGAAAAACCAGAATGATTTTAAATAAACATTCATCAGATCATGAGAATATTATTAAAAATCAATTTCTTTTTTTTGAAAAAATGAACTAGAATAATAACGAAAGAAATATATAACGAACAACCAACCAACCAACCAACCAATGAAATTATGTAAAAAAATATGAATAATGAATAATGTGTAGCATTGTTAGACCAACAACCAATAGAAACTTGACAGCACTCAACCACTGTTTCATCCTGTTATGAGACTCATCAGTGACAGTGAGCATCTAGGACACTTACTCGCAAAGCATCAAACCCACGACCTTCTTCTATCTCACATATGAACTCTCATATTCACGACCATCAATTCAATGTACTAATCAATCTCATTCATTATTTTCGGGAGGTGACTGTCTATATACCCAAAAACGAAACGGCCGTCAAGTGCTTTCAGGCTTCTAACGGTGGTCTAACATGAATCAATTCACAAATCTCAATGAAACTCAACAATCTTCATCACTAACTGTATGACAAAAATAAAAAGATACTAGAATTGAGTTTGATATCACTGTTGAATCAATAAAATGAGGATATATTTATTTGGTCTTATAGACTGTCAGAATTGCCCCCTTGGCTTAAAAAGAACTTGTTACAATGTAACGGTGTGTTCCAAATTAAAACGTGATACATGCTAACACTTCAACAGTGACTACTTGGTTGACAAGGCAGGAGTAGAACAAATAGTTCATTTGTGTTGTTAGGTTCGTCACTAGGTACTACACTTCAAGCTATTACGAGTTCACTTTAGTCGATAAACGCGAACGAGACAATTACCAGCGTCCAGGTAGGCTACAATGAGCCAAAACTGTAAAACAGAATACTTGGTAAGCGTAGAAAGGTATATTCTACAACACCCAGCAATCACAATACAATCAAGCACACAACTCTCGTTTATTACTTATACATCATAGAAACGTCCTAGGGACGGTCACAAAAATAGCACACTAAAATACACAGCAGCCAATCACACAGCCATATATTTTCCTGGTGGGAAATGAAATCTCACGGTCAACTGATCAACCCCATGCTCGCAAACGTGAAATCCAAAATGAGGAGGCATTTATCAAGCGAGTTCTGGGGATGTAAAATCCCCAACAATTTGGCTGCCGTATGATATACATAAATATTGATTTGCGTTAATACAAATACATACATACATACATACACACATTCCTTCCCCATAAAAAATAAATCCATCGCTTGACCAATGATATTGAGATGATCACTAAATGACCTTCACGTTTGACGACCTCTAATTGGCTAAAGTATCATGCTAACTAATGCTCAAATTTTAACAAATAAATATGATTTTAAATGTGATCACATGAAATTAAACATTGAATCAGCGTTAGACGCAAAAGATTTTTTTAAAAAAAAACAATTCATAATTAGAAAAACCAGTTCAACACATTGATTGATCAAACAAATACCTCAATCTGGTAATGAACTGATCATATTTCAAAATAACTTATATATAGAATATCTAAAATATAGAGACAAGAAGTTGAACCTAAAAAAACATGATTACATAACAGATTTCATGGAATTCCCAAAAAAGAAAAATCAATAATTACTACTTACAACTCATCAGTATTTATGATAGGGTTGAGTTAGACTACAATGAGAAATCTGGAAGCACTAGACGGGTCAGTGTTCACGCAACAGGTTAGGGAGCGGGAGTTGTGGATACACACTGTCCCACACTAAGACGAAACGACCGCCCTAGTGGTGCTTCCAGGTTTCTAAATGTGATTAGTCTAACCATTCATAAATTAAGTAGAATAATATATAAATTCATTTTATTTTGACACGGTTTTCATCGGTTGTTAATCACAATCAGTGAGTACACGTTTCATATTAACGTCAACTGCGCATACAAATTCACACCAAAACACTGATGGAACAGACAGAAGAAGAAGACAGAACTTATGTTCAAATGCAAGACCATATGTCAAAAAGTATCAGGTTTGCGAGTTTACATCTCTATGATAGAAGGCAGCGAACTGATCGATTGCGATCAGTCAGCATCATTAATTAATCCGCAATCGAATTCTGTTCATCTCTAATATGTCGAAATCAGCACTATCGATCACCTCAAGTAGGACTGATGTATCCAAAAAGAAAACAGCCGCAAATCTGTCTACAGATTATTCCTGCAACTGTTCCCCTTCTCTCTCTCTCTCTTTGAATTCAGAATTTCAATCGGTGTGATTCATCCCAAATATTAATAATCGTGCCTGAGAAGATAGTCAACATCACTTCGAGTGGTTCTGTCAACTGTCATGAAGACCGGCGTCAAACAAGGTTGCTTACTCTCATCCTTTCTCTTTCTCCTGGTGATCGACTGGATTATGAAGAAGTCAACATCAGGAGAGAAGCACATTATGCAATGGACAACTAGGATGAAGCTAGGCAATCTGGACCACACAGTTGATCTGGCTCTTCTATCGCACACGCAAAAACAAATGCAAGAGAAGACGATCAGTGTTGCAGCAGCAGCCTCTGCAGCAGTAGGTTTCAACATACATAAAGGGGGGAAGCAAAATTCTCCGATGCAACACAACATGCACAAACCAAATCACTCTTGATGGAGATGCATTGGAGGACGCTAATACCTTTACATAACTAGGCAGCAGCATCAACAATCAAGGTGGATCTAATGCAGATGTGTGGGCGCGCATCGGCAAAGCGAGGGCTGGATTTCAACAACTGAACAACATCTAGTACTCTAAAAAACTATCAGTCAACACCAAAATCAGGATTTTCAATATCAATGTCAAGATAGTTCTACTGTATGGAGCGGAAACTTGGAGAACTACCAAAGCCATCATACAGAAGATACAAGTGTTTATTAACACCTGTCTACGCAAAATACTTCGGATTCGTTGGACAGACACCAACATCAACAGCTTACTGTGGGACAGAACAAAACCAGATCCCAGTTGAGAAAGGAATTAGGAAAAAGCACTGGAGGTAGATAGGATTCACACCAAGGAAATCACGCCACTGCATCATAAGACAGCCCCCCCCCCACCCAACTTAGAATCCTTAAGGCCAAATACTAAAGAATTAAAAGCCAACATAGACAGAATGAACAGAGATTGGATAGAACTGGAAAGAAGGGCCCAAGACAGAGTAGGCTGAAGAATACTGGTCAGCTACCTATGTTGAATTAGGGATAACAGGTGTAAATAAGTAAGTAATATATACATCTCGAAAATAAACATTATCTTTCATATCTGACTTACTTTAGCATTCATCCCTTCAATCGACTCATCATTGATAGCTACAAGACGATCACCAGTTTTCACGGTGACACGATTGTTTAAATTTACAAGTGTATCTGGAAGGAGGCTAGCAATATACAAACCTGGTACAGGTAAATACTGAACTGAAGAAGAATTCGGTGTAGATTGTAGTGGTGATGATGCCGATGATGAAGGAGAGAGTATAATATCATTGGACCATTTAAAATTAATTCCCAATATTGGAGGTTCTGTTTGTTTAGTTGTGCCCAATGGAGGAAGTTCATATTCAAATGTAAAACTCATGAAAGGCTAAATGGAAATAAAATAAAAAGGTATGAATAATTCCTGAGATGCCTGCCCCCCCCCCCGCATTCGTGATATGGCTGAGACTGAAGAGTCGGTGTTCCTCTCTAACCAAAAATGTTCTCAGAAGATCACATAGATATATAGCTATTACCGAGAAAGTTGTGCTAACTGCTTTCTCATGATATACATGTGTTATTTACAAAATTGAGGCGATGAAAATCAAATGTCCGGGCTGGAATTTCGGTAAGTACGAAGGATACATGCAGTAGAAGTGGAACACCCAGATTCCAAACCAATTATCTGCAGGGGTCCCAAGATCTTGAAGAAATAAATAGCGTATCAACCTGTTATTGGTTAAGAGCTACCAAGAGCTGCCATATGCAAATGACATCGTTCTATTTGATGAAGACGCTGATAAAATGCAGTCTTCTGACTACCCTGAGCAACATTGCAAGCAAGTTCGGGATGCGGTTCTCACCCTCGAAAAGCACAATGTTGCTTTAAGATTAGGTTGCATCGGCACCTGAACCAGTGATAGGGAATGGAATAGTAGAACCCGTAGACCGCTTCACGTATCTGGGGAGTCTCATCAGTTCTGATGGCCTGGTGACTGACGAAATATCAGCTCGGATACAGAAGGCTTGATTGGCTTTTGTCAACTTGCGTCATTTATGGTGTAGGCAAGATATCCGTCTACTAACTGAACGACAAGTTTACTATGCAGCAGTTCGCCCCGAATCATGGGCAGTCAGAATAGTTGATGTTCGTAGGTTACTAGTTTACGAATCATATTATTAGCGGTAATCAAGAAGATATGATTCAAGAAGTATAATCCACTGAAATCAGTTTGAATAGGGAAATATAAAGTGGAGGAAATAAGAAGATTAGAATCTGATAGAAGACAAGGAATGGATGTACACTAACGTCATCGCAAACGATTTTCAACCATTTCATTCTGAGTGATCTAACTATCAGTTGCTATTGTGTCACAGACTGCAATCAGATAGTCTAAACCAACTACCATGGCTCGGTGCAGTAATCAGTGACTTCATTACCTGGTACCGTGTTTTGGTCTGGCCACCTCTAACAATCCTTTCAACCTAACTTTAGATCAGAAAACATCGATCATCGAGGGCGTAAGTAACACATATCCCGACCAACTCTATTGATCTACCATCCTGACCTAGTACCTGCTTCTTGACAACAGCATTGCTCACTCGATGGTCCCAGAATATACTGGAAGTGCCATCAGTTCTGATGGCCTGGTGACTGACGAAATCTCAGCACGGATACAGAAAGCTCGATTGGCTTTTGCCAACTTGCGTCATCTATGGCGCAGGCGAGATATCCGCTTGCTAACCAAAGGACGAGTGTACTGTGTAGCAGTTCGCTCCGTCCTACTATACAGAAGCAAAACATGGGCAGTGAAAGTAGAGGACATTCGTAGATTGAATATCTTCGATCTTAGGTGTCTCCGAAGCGTTGCTCGTATATCCTGGGACAGTCAAGTAAGCAACGCTGACGTTAGGAAACGAGTACTAGGCAGGGGATGGCAGACCAATAGATGAAGTAGTGAAACGTCATCAGTTGAGGTGGTTAGGACATGTGTTACGTATGCCTAACCACCGATTGCCTTGACGAGCTATGTTTTGTAGTGTAGAAGTAGGTTGGAAGAAAGCTAGAGGTGGCCAAACCAAAATATGGCACAAATCCATGAAGTCACTGACAAGTGGACTAAGTAATATTGGTAGATGTAGGCTACCTCGGTTGGGGTCCGCGAGACGAAAGTCACCAATGGTCAGAGACCTTGAACGACATGGCTCAAAATCGTTTGCAATAGCGCGCAGGTGCATCCATTCTTTCTGTTCTCTCAAATCCTAATCTTCTGGATTGGTCAACACCTCTGACTTTCTCTATCTAAATTTATCTCACTGAATTATATACTTCTCGAATCATATTTTCGCTCCCTAATCTCCTCTGCGTTGTATCTCTCTGTCTGTCTGTCTGTCCCAGAATATACGATCATCGCTTCGGAAACACCTATAATCAAAAACCAGTCAACTATACAAATATCCTCTACTATGAGTGACTAGGACGGAGCCAACCACGTCCACTGTCAATGGTAGACGGATATATCTCACATACGCCCTATAACTGATACAAATTGACGAATCAATAAATCAATAAACCTTAATACCTCCAATTAAAATGAACCAATTTTTATTCAAAAGTCAATAATCATTTATCACTTATCTACGACGTTCAAATGTATCAATAATAATAATAAAAATAATGAATTTAATTAATTAATTAATTAATTTAGGATAAATTAATTATCTAGTGAATTCTTTCATTCCTTCTCTTCACTCTTTGCTTCTCCATTTTTGCCGTACACTTCACACGGCCACACACACTAGCACACTAGCAAACACAAACACACACAGGATGTAGAATGTTGACAATATAATCTTCTTCTTTCTTTCATTATAAAGAAAAAGTAACATTTTTTTGTGTAAACTTGAGAAAGTCGTGATTAATTATCGATTATCGATTTTACTGATTAAAAAGTTAATTAAAAACATTAACAACCAGTTTGTATGCCCGAATTCAATTGGACAAAGGAGTTAAGCATTCGCGTGTTTGGTTTTGTGCGTGTGGGAGTTGTGGATGCGCACTGTTGAGGACTCGCGTACGAAACGAACTTCTAGTGTGCTGTTAGATCTTTTCCTATCTGCTTTCCCCGACAATACTTGCACGGTGTGGGCAGCCGGGAAGTGACAACCGCCCTCATACTACTCTACTCACATTCCCTTATCTGACTGCACCGCTAATGCAAACGATGCGAGTTCACGAAACTTTATTCCTGGTCCCTTGAAACCTCGTTCCATACTACATGTTGGAGCATTTAATGTATGGACATTGTGTCCAGTAGGGCAACAGGCATCACTAGCTAGGACTTTAGAATCTCGTGCCATCGATGTATGCTGCGTCTCGGAAACACGCATACAGGATCTTAGTAAAATTATTAATCTGATTTCACCTTGTCAAAATAAAGAAGCAGCTCGATTCACTCTTCGTGTATCCGGTAGCCCTGATGCTGCTTCCAGGGGTCTTGCTGGTGTAGGCATATGATTGAGTCGTAGAGCTGAGCAATCTCTCCTTGACTGGATCCCAGTAGATAGTCACTTGTGCGCTGTCCGATTAAACGGGACAGTAAGGACTCGGAAGGATAGGAACACTCGCCGTTGCCTCTTCATCGTATCTGCCTATGCCCCCATTGACTGCAGTTCAGACGAGGTTAAAGATGAGTTTTACAGAAAGCTTTCGGACCTCCTCCAAAAAGCTAGGCGCTCTGATGTAGTAATAATGGCTGGTAACTTTAATGCTCAAGTAGGTAGACTGAGTGAAAATGAAAGACACCTGGGGGGATGTTATGGTGTCGCGGCTCAGAGAACAGACAATGGTGACCGTCTGTTGCAAGTATGCTCAGACAACCGCCTATACTTAGCAAACACTAACTTTAGGCATAAGGAAAAGCATCTGTTGACCTGGCGACCTCCAAAGTCGTCTCAACGTTGGACCCAACTAGATCGCATTGCCATCAGGCAACGATGGAGGGGTTCGATAGAAGACCTGGAGTACATGTTTAGATTCAGATCATGCCCTAGTGCGAGCACGTATTTGTTTGAGGCTTACTGGGCGTAGGAAAGACATCGTAAGGAAGCCTCTTAGGGTTTTATTTAATGATAATAGGACGAATAATATATTTCAGGAACAACTAGAAAGATAGTTAGGCGACCATTTAAGCGACTGCTACTTTGACGTGGTGGTCGGGTTTGTCTGTAATGACGACCCAAAAAAACTATATTGGCGAGAACATATGTTCCTGTAGGTTCTATCATTCCAGGCAGGTCAACTGAAGAACGATGAGATTAAAAGCAGAAACTGAAGTTCTAAGGGCGTAGTCCTATTCCTGTCTACTACGGAGGGGTGTGTGAAGAGTAAGGCGCTGCTATCGGACAAGCTGTATCTGGAGCGTTGCTAATTTTTCCCAAAGAAGGGTGGGGATGGAAAAGGTAAACTCTTAAAAATGTCACAACTCACCTCACCTTACGGATTTCCATCTGTGGCCGTAAGGCCAATTGAAGGCCAGAACTAACACATTAAAAAGTTCCAATAAAAATGCCGTGCGCAACCAGCTTCAAACAGTTATTCCTTAGGCTATGTGGTGGTGACGTTACCAGGTCGCTATGATCAGGAGACGCAGTCTCATAATAGCCGGTGACAAACAGTATGTTCCCATACGCCATTCAATCGATCAAGATATACTAGAGCCAATGTGCACTATAAAGTTTGAAATCAAAGTTTTTCAACAACATCTCTAAGTAGATCCTCCATACCAACAACCAACCAAGTAAAAAGCGACGAACACAGTAACAAATGTGCCATGAGAAGGCGGTGAATAGGATACCACCCGAGCAGTTGCTATTTGATGTGTGTGCGCGTGTGTGCATTTCAAGACCGCAAATGCACTCTCCCCCTCAATATCAATCATCATACCAATGGCATAAATATAACAAATGACTTTTGAACAAGAAGAAAGAGATACACTGAACTTACACGTGGTACTAAAGATTTTTGAATTGTTGACTCGGTTGAATCGCATGAAATTTGTCGTGATATCAATAAATCCACTTGTTTACCCGGTGTCAATGATCGTAATAATGATAAAACTTGATTTAATGAACGAACTTCCTCTCCGTCGATTGCCAATAAACGATCACCAACCTGAAAAACAAACAAATAAACAGGTTGATATTTAGCATGGATTTGTGTCATGTTTTGATTTGACCGGTCCTAGCCTACTATCCTCACATATTAGACAACATTCCTCATTGAGGCAGCCGGTAGTTAGGCGTACGTGACACACATGTCCCAACCAGCCCGAACTAATGAAGATTCACTACATCACGAATTGATCTACCAACCATCCTAACTTGGAAACCTTTTCCTAGAGCAGCAGTATTACTTACTCAATGATTCCAGAATATAACGAATCACTCCTGTATTGATTGTTTGAATCGATCGATCGATGTTTACAACTTAAATTGATCAATCAATTTAGGATATGTAGATCCTCTGTAGATTAACTAGAGTATTAGTAACATGGATGGACGGTGGCTAATAGTGGAATTTAGGAGGAGAAGTCGTCTTTAAATGGATTTACTTGTTGTATCCTGGGGGTAGATATCAACTCAGGATTGTGGAGCTAGAGAGTACACGATCAACACTTAGTCATATTATATATCACGATCAAATCAGGCAATTGTAGGACACCTAAATGTGTGTCTATGTTCCAGGACCTGTCGTAGTGTGAAGATGTGGTCTATACAACCACGTCCAGGTCTGAAACTAGCCTAGGACGTCATTTTTGAGCACATTTTGTTCAGGCATGGATAACAACGAGAGAAAAACACCTAAGACATACACTGTAACGAAGACTAAACACGTTATTGATTTATGTAATCAGTTCATATGAAAATCACCTACAACTAACTAGGCACCCGTACTAGAGTATACTACAGTGTGTGTGTGTGGGGGGGGGGGTTGAGATAGTGCTCAGGTGCCTAGACGGAAATAGATGGTTTTCATAAAGGCCCGCATTTCCTAAGCCTCCTCTGAATTTAAGATCTAATCTACAAGAAGTGGTGCTAGAAACTGTGACCCAGTGGCAGTTAATGACTAAAATAAGGTGTATACACTGTTTGCACCCTTGAAAGTCTTAGAATTCATAGACACTATCGGTTTGGAATCAAGGTTTTTCAACTCCGCAATCTGGTTCTTTCACATTTAATAATCTAGTTTAAACACCTGAAATCGTTTCTTCTGTTTCCTCCGAGTTTTTTTCAAGGAACTCCGTCACTGAGTCACCAATGGTTAGAGACCTTGAACAACAACGACATGGCTCAAAATCGTTTGCGATGGCACAGGTGCATCCACTGTTTGTGTTCTCTCTAATTCTAACCTTCGGAATTCCTCATCATCTCTATCTTTCTCCTTTTAAATTTATTTCACTGAATTACACTTCTCGAATCATATCTTCGTACACTAGTCTTCTGCATTACTGCTAATATTTCTACTATCGCTATCACTCTTGGATTCGAACTGATAGTTACGTATTTGTGCTGATGTGGCATGGCAACCTGAACTGATGTACACAGACATACGAAGTTCTGCGTTGTATCTGTCTGTCTGTCTGTCTCCGTCACTGGGTGAAAGCAGCGAGTAGGCTGTAAACATAATTATATGTGAGCTAATTTGACGGCGAATATGGAATCTATCCGTTCTCGGACATACTAAGACGTTTGGAAGCCGAACGAGTCGATGGCTAGACAAGAAAGTTTAAAGGAGAGGAATTTTTCCAAGAAGGATATCGGTGGATCTGAATTCACAACAGCTGCAGAACCTAATTAAAAAAACCACACAAAAAAATACATGAAAACCACGCTTCAGTACTCTACTCCAAGCACGATCTCATTTCAAAATAGAATAGAACAGAATAGAAATTGAATTGAAACACACTCACCATTAAACGTCCATCTTGTATAGCAGCACCATCTGGTAGAATTTTTTTCACATATACTGGATCAGATATTTGTGAACTGTGCGTTTGTGTATCACGACTGGTCAGGGTGAAACCGAGACCAGCACTTAACATTTTTTTCAATTGAATATGCATTGTTTGACCAATAGTTCGTGTGTTAAATGCATTCGGATCTTTAGTTGACTAGGAAAAAGAGAAAAAATTTTTTTGGTGTAAAAAGAAAACAAACAAGACTGTATTATTACGTAATCATGAAATCTAAAGCGAACAGCGTCCAAGACAATGAAATCATTCTATAGAGGTGAGAACTACAGAGGCATCACTCTTCTTTCAATACCAGGCAAAGTCTTCAAAACAGGGTATTGTTAAACAGAATGAAGGACTTCGTAGACGTCCAACTTCGAGATCAACAGGCCGGATTTCGTAAGGATCAATCGTGTACTGACCAAATTGCTACATTACGGATCATTGTGGAACAATCAATCGGATGGAACTCACCACTCTACATCAACTTCATCGACTACGAGAAAGCATTCGATAGTGTGCGTGGATAGGAAAACACTGCGGAGGCTTCTTCGACACTACGTTGTGCCTGAGAAAATAGTTAACATCATGTGGAATTTTTATGATGGATTCAACTGCAAAATCGTGCACGGAGGACAGCCAACAGAATCGTTCGGTTTGAAGATCGGTGTGTGGCAAGGTTGCTTACTCTCATCCTTTCTCTTTCTCCTGGTGATCGACTGGATTATGAAGACGTCGACATCTAGAGGTAAGCACGGTATCAACTGGACAGTTAGGACGCAGCTGGACGATCTGGGCTGCATTTCTACAGTTGAAAAATATCTGGAACTCCAAACAACTTTCAACCAAAACCAAAATCAGGATTTCCTATACAAATGTCAGGACAGTGTTCTACTGTATGGAGTGGAAACTTGGAGAACTACGAAAGGCATCATCCAGAAGATACAAGTGTATGAACAGGTGTCCACGCAAAATACTTCGGATTCGTTGGCCAGACACGATCAGCAACAACGTACTTTGGAAGAAAACGAACCAGATTCCAGTAGAGGAGAAAATCAGGAAGAAGCGGTGGAAGTAGATAGGACACACACTACGAAAAGCACCTAACTGCGTCACGAGACAAGCCCTCACATGGAACCCTCAAGACAAAAGGAAAAGAGGAAGGCCAAGAAATACATTACGCCGAGAAATAGAGAAGAATGAGCAAACATTGGACAGAACTGGAGAGGGACGCCCAGGACAGAGTTGGTTGGAGAAAACTGGTGGGCGGCCTACGCTCCATTGGGGGTAACAGGCGTAAGTAAATAAGTAAGTGTTCTCTCTGTATTTCTCGCACTTTAATATGTTATGGATTATTGCCTAAGAAAATAAGATTTAGACAACAAGAATGCACTATCACAAATGGTACCATTCAACATAGACACTAAGGCAATAAAAAGTGACATCACGGGTCATGAATAATATTCATCTTATTTCCAAAGAAATCGAATCATACCGGCCAATGTTTATCACTAAGAATGTAGGAAAAATTAATTGATATTAGGTAGTTTTTGGTTAGTTACAACGTAGAAATTCTTATGTACGTGCATCAGTTCAAGTTGTCATACAACCAGATTAGCTCAGAGACGCCCGACCGAAGCTGCTACCTTGACGTGGTGGTCACGCTTGACTATCGTGATCACCCAACCGAGCTATATTGGGTGGAACTTATGTTCATGAAGGTTCTACCATACCACGCAGGTCGATTGGAGAACGATCAGACTAAAAGCAGCTACCTAACGTCTGAGGGCGAAGTCGTACTGCTGACTGACTGTGGAGGGGTGTGACAGCAGTAACGTGTTTCCCTCGGACAACCAGCATCTGTAGCAATCCAAATCCAATAGTAGTAGAAGTTGTGGAAGTATTAGCAGTAATCGGAGAGATTTAGGTTCGATGATATTATTCAAGAATTTTATAATCTAGTTCCAAAAATTTAGACAGAGAACGATAGAGGTTATGAGGGATTCAGAAAATGAGAATTTGAGAGAATACAAAGGTCTCTAACTATCGGATATTATTTTCTCATGGACTCCACAACCTGGAAGTCTACACCGACTAAGATGGCTCAGTCTACTAGTCAGTGACTTCATGCACTTCTGCTATGTTTTGGTTTGGACACGGCTAGCTTTCTTCCAACCTAGTCTTACACCACAAAACATCGCTGGTTGAGGCAGTTGACGTTTCGGCATACGTAACACATGTCCTAACCACCGCAAGGGATGAAGCTCCGCAACTTCATTAATTTATCTGCCATCCTTAACCTAGCACTCGTTTCCTAACAATAGCATTGCTTACTCGATAGTACAAGCCAACTGACATTGAAACGTACACCAGTTCAAGTTGCCATACTAGCACATTAGCACACAGAAATAGAATTGTCAATTCAAATCTCATAGTAGTACAGGTAGTTGAAGCATTAGGGGTAATAGAGAAGATTAGGTTTCGAGGATATTATTCAACAAGCATGATACAGTGAGATAAATTTACAAAGAGAAATATGTAGAGGTGATGAAGAATTCACAAAAGTACAATTTGAGAGAACACAAAGGTGTGGATGCACTTGCAAACGATTTTGAGCCAACAAGAATGGAGAAAGTGGACAGCCCTGATGGAGGACATCATTTAAAGTAATGAATTCCGATGACAGTTCGCCCCATAAGCTCTAATCCGACCATAACCAATACAATGCAGGGTAGACTGTTACGCAGTTTATTCAGGTCGTTGTTATCATATGAAGCAAGTCAAAAACGATCTTTCAGAACATTGAGTCGACGTCGAGTCATATAAATTTCTAACTACAGTGAGTAAGTGATATGATGAACAGTTATTGATTACACATAGATCAATATTTCATAATTGGACATTGATAAACCAGTGATTGTGTAATCATTAGCCAAGAATTGTGTCAATGCTTTATGTTTAAACTAAATCTAACCTGCACTATTGATAATCCGAAAACACAAACGCACACACACACGTACACGCGATCACAATCATACTCATTATGATTACGTCATCAGTTGTGAATATGGTTGATAAGATAAAAATAGAAAGAAAAGATGTTGCAGCAGATCGATTAGAAGAAAGAAACAATCGGTTGATTGATTGATTGATTGATCAAACCGCCTGACACAGTCATCACAAATTAGAAAAACAACACATGATGAAGAAAAAGATGCTGCACATGATGAGATATGAGCGTGAACAACAACACTCAGTCACACTGATTGACATAGAAACACACAAGCGTACACACACACACACAATCAATCTGATGATCGATTCCGCTTCACAAACAAAAATGCAATAAGAGGAATAGTTTTCAATAAGAACTACTATTTTCGTTAACAACATGAATCGATCCTGGAAGTAACGCATGGACGTTTCGTCGTAGTGCGCATCCGCACACGGGAATCAAATAGAAGAAACGACAAGGATTCCCACAATTCTATAATAAAAATTCATAAAAAGAAGCACGCACTAGTGATACTAGCTTCGTCAGGCAATTTTCGGAGTTCTAGTGAGAAGATGTCACTATTGGAGTTCAACTTTGTTGCGGGTATAATGTAGTTGTTACCAACCAGAGACAATGTGACGAGGTTGCGCAATACCATGAATTGACGGCAGTTAGATAATAACGCCGTCGAAGGCCGGCCCAGTGGTCAAAGCGTTTAAGTGTTAGCGCGTAAGGCTGAAGATCTTAGTTTAGATTCATGTGAGCGGAGATGATGGATGAGCACTGCTAAATGAGTCAAGGTCATTAGTAACATATGATAATGTGAATTATGATAGTCAAATAAAATAGCATATAAGAAATATACAGTAGGGTGTGGCTATGAAGCTACTATCTATAATTGTTTTGTATATATTTTGTAAATAAACTAGTTTCTCTAACGATTTGAATTCAGCACGGAGTCTCGATTAGCTTTTGCCAACTTGCATCATTTATAGCGTCGGCAAGTTATCCGTCTACTAACGAAAGGACAAATGTACTGCGCAACAGTTTGTTTAGTCGAGTACAAGTTGAGGATATTCGTAGTTCGCTAGTAGTCGATTAAAGATGTCTGTCTGTGAAGTCTCGCTCGTGTAGCCTGCCTGGGACAATCAACTAAGCAATACTGTCGTTAGGAAATGAGATAAATTATTGAAACTACATAAGTTGAAGTGGTTGGGACATGTGTTACTAATGTTCAACCAGTTGTCAATTCAAATCCCAATAGTAGTAAACGTAGTAGAAGTATTAGCAGTACTCGAATAAGATTAATTAATTAATTAATTAATTAAAGGTGATACTTTAAAGAACCAATCAAACTACAGCAAAGGTGAACCGTAGGCGTTCGCCTACAATACCGAAGGTCCTGGGTTCGAATCCTGCGGGGTGCAGGAGTTGTGGATGCGCATTGCTGAGGAGTCCCATACCAGGAAGGAACGGCTGTCTTTCAGTGCTTCCAGGAATCTCATAAACTTCACAACAAGGTTGTCTAATTGTAGTATTGCTTACGTATACTAAACTGTTTACCTCGATTAGAAATATTGTCTGTTACAGGAGTAAACCCGAATAAAACATAGGGTCGATCAAGACACCAGGTCATCAAGTCACTGACAATAGATATAGACTACCTAGTTGGGGTCTAGTGGGTTAGAGAGACCTTGAACGACATGACTCAAAATCGTTTACGATGGCCAACATGTGTATACATTTTTTTGTCCTCCTACAAATTCTAATTTTCAGAATTCCTTATGACCTTAAGGAATTTCCCTTTTCAAATTTATTTCACTGGATGATACTTCTCGAATCATATCTTTAAAGTTACTGTAAATACCTCCACTCGCTCTACTACTCTGTGAGGTGACCTGATAATTCCATCTCTCTGTGCTAATATGGTAGGGCAATCAGTCAGTCAGTCAGATAGGTACAATGTAGAACTTCGTACGTACGCGCATCAGTTCAAGTAGTAGATAGAGATAGTAGAGATAGTAGAAGTACTAATAGTAGTAACCAAAGAGATTAATGATCGAATAGAACATTCACGATGGTAGGGCAACTTAAACTAATGTGCAGCACGTATACCATGTTCTACATCGCCACTACATGTCTCTACCATATTTCTTACTAACCT